CTGAAGTACAGGGGGGCAACGCCATCAGCTGCACCAATGAGACCCAATCAATCCACGCAGCCTTCCAGTTCTGGAGAAAATATTGAATGGGGTTTTCCATAATGAACCTTCGACTGAGGTTAGGCGTCTGTAGTTTAGCCGTCGGCCATTGTGGCACCCTTTTTTGGTGGTGGGGCAACGCGGTTGCAGGGGAGGGAGCGCGGCAATGCACTACTATGATTAGTTTGGTGCAGATTTCATGATAAGGTCAACATGCCTGCAGTAGAGCTGTCCACGGTGGTGGGTTCGGTCGCGCCATGCGAAGCTTGACTCGAACGACGATGCGCTTTGACGAGTCGCCGCAGTGCCTGGGCGAGTTTGTTCTGCAGGGTAGTTAAATTGTTCCGGTTCACGGCTTGTGCTTCAGTAGCGACCGGATTTTCCGGTAACGATAACTGAGCAAGAGCCCTGCATAGTTCGTTAATTGGATCATTCGCCATAATTTGTTGCATCTTTCCTTCCGAGCTTCACTTTCTGGGATCGAACGTAACCAAAACAATATTTATAGGGAGGGCATCGTTCGGGAGCCTTTTAATATTAAATCTCAGCTAGTTAGTCGTCCAGCCGCCGGGAACAATTGCTTGTACGAAATTTAATCCTGCTCATCATATGCTGAAGCCCCAGTCACCCCGCATCCAGTCTCCGCCAGACAGCAAAATATTAAAAGTAGTACCTCCAAAGTGAAGCATCAACATGTTACTGTGCTCTGTTCTCCTAGCCGATGTCTTTAGTGAAACGCCAGTGAAGTACTACTCAAACCTGAAAACGCACCGTCAGGTCACGACTAAGCAAACATTTCCAGCAAAGTCGCAGTCGTTGGGCTGAGCTGCTGCATTGCACCGCTGGAGACCCCAGAGCAGAGAGCTTGCGTTGCAAGGCACTCGCACCGCACCTGGAGGGCGATAATCATAAAGTTGGCAGGAACACGACATTCTGACTGGGTGGTGGCGGAAGAGACCTCTCCAACACCAGCTGCCCAAAGCATTAAATATAAGACACATAGTTTGACGACAAAAGAGAACCGGCAGAAGTTGGCCGTCTGCCGCAAGCTTCTGCTCGGCGCTAGAAGATAGTGCTGAGTCGCTGCCATTAACTTTAACATCCCGATGGACTTAAGACCCGTTTGAGTAGCGCCTAATTTCCACCGCCACTGCAACCTGCAAAGAATATTCGTCTTCAGAAATGCTCGTCTGTCAGATAGCAGTTTTTCACGCCATAATTGGTCTTGTATGCTCACACTCATGGGTGGAGAGACTCATGGTCATTGGTACCAATGGCACCATGATCGGAAACCCAGGCTATATTCGTGGCGCTGTTTCTAGGCTTGATCCAAATTTCAACGACTTTAAAATGCAACATCTCTTGCCAACAAGTACCGAGGGTCTGCTTACAGACAAATTGTGCAAGAATTCACAGAGAAATAGGACTTATACTACTGATCTTCCGGCACTCCAAGCAGCCCCTGGTGACTTCATTGCTCTGCAATACCAGGAGAACGGCCATGTCACCTTGCCAGGACTCACGCCACAAAAGAAGAATAGTGGGACCGTATACGTATACGGCACGTTATATCCTCGTGACGATGAATTGCTTTCCTCCGTCCATAATATTTGGAATACGGACGGCACTGGCGGCGATGGTCGAGGCAGACTCCTTGCAGTCAGAAGTTTTGATGATGGACAGTGCTATCAGATTAATACTGGTCCACTCTCCATGCAACGGCAGACCAAGTTCCATAAAATTGCAATGAACCCCCAAGGTGCTGACCTTTGGTGCCAAAATGACATCCGGCTTCCTATCGATATTCCTTTCAGCTGGTACACCCTGTATTGGGTTTGGGATTGGCCGAGTGCTCCGAGTGATCATTTGCCAGGAGGGGAATTGGAGATGTATACCAGTTGTATGGATGTAGAAGTTCAACCGAGAGTTCAGCTAGATGAAATGAATTTTGTCGATGGACAAGATCTCAATATGGCAGGCATCAAAGGACAGCTAGAGTAGACAATACATAATAGCGACTTAAGGATCAACCTCTGCTGGCTGCCCATGCTTCTGTATCGTGTATAATCAGTCCTTCGCTTTCTCCTCGCACTGTTAGTCCGTGAGGCCCCACAAGCTAATGAATGGGTGGGTTACCCGCAGGCGCCAAACCGCATCGTACTCGCGACACGATCGCGCGCGTACGAGGGAAGCAAACCGATCTAATTTTGGCATCGCGCAAGCTAAGAGCGACCGGTCGTCTCGAAGGTCAAGCGTGATGTGTTTTCTACAGGCTGTGAGCTTCCCTTGCAATGGTGGGACGCGTCTCACTAAGCGCCGCGCGATCCCTGCCAATCAGTAGGCGGTGCAGCGACGTCACCACCGGAACCGCTCGACCTTACAACTGCATAAAAGGAGAGTTCCTCCGTCTTCAAGCTCACGCGGTGAGCGTTCAATGATGCCAACGTTATGAAGCCAGCAGCGCCGAGACACAAAAGGGCAGAAGCGCGGCGCCGCTTCATCTTCGGACGAAATCACCGAGGACCGCCAGTCCACCCGCCCTTTGAAGAAGCAGAAACGCGGCCATTCATATTTCCCACCTCCCAAATTCTGGGACGGTCTATCAACGATTCCCCTTACTCGTAACGCAATAAGGGAACTGGATCGGCGAAATCAGCTAAGCAGTCATTCTCCTAGTCACATACAAACACTTTATACGCCTCGACAGCCGTCAACCCTTCAGCGTTTTGCAAGACAAGGCGGCCCAGATCTTTCTGTGATAAGAGGCGTTAGTATAGCTCAATATTACACGCGTTTTGGTGCTAATAATAATCTAGTGTCAAGTTCCAATAGGCTTAGGCAGCAACATGAGCTCTAGCCAATCGAGCCTGGGGCGTCGAAAGAGAGGTTCACAGTCGCCCGTGAAGAGAACCAGCCAATCCCCGTCAAAGACCAACGCGACTCCTAATACTACGAGTACGAGAAGCACTGGTCCATACGATCGTGCATTTCTGCAAAATCTCATCGATCACAATATATATTCCCAGATGGTTATGAATATCCAGATAGCGCATTGCCACCAGAGCCTGAGAACATGAACGATATACTGCACGCGATGGCCCAGCCTTGACCGTCTTTATCCCCATCTCGATTCTCCAATGATGATTTCAGAAGGTTTAAAAGAGCAGACACTCATGCCTTTAAAGAGCGTGAAATTACAACAAACGACATACCTTTGATCCAAGGAACAATCACAGATAGCAAGTGTGTTGCTGGAGACGTTCCATTCACGAACCTAGACGATTTGACCGACGGCACGATCGTTTCAGGCAAGCCTGACCTGTACCACGGCGCACGGCCCGAACAGCTCGATATTAGAGTCCGCAGAGAGCAAAGCCGTAAGATCAACCCCTCGTCTCAGAGTTGTAGCCATTTGTGGTCTCTAGGTAAAAGTCGAGATTGGTTAACTTGAGATAGGCTTGCGAGTTTCTCGCTTTAGTCGTATCTTCTTCTTTCTGTCTTAAAGCATCGAGCCACTTCGAAATGTTTTGTCTTCGCACGCACAGTGGGTCTTCAGTGCTTGTAGAACAACGACGATTGAGGATGTGACTCGCACGAGTAAACAATTTAACTGTCACGGCTCCCGAGAAGGAAAGCATCAATAGACGCTGGAGTCAGTGTGGATAGAAGGCACAAATACTAACATCTTCTAATCTTGCATTGGAGTTTCACCTCCTATTTTTGGACCTCGAGTCGTTCTTTTATGTTCTGCTCTGGATATCTGCACGGTACTCATGGACCAAAGGATTTGGTGGCCGGAAAAAGCCACCCAATGATAGCCTTTTACGGAAGTGGGAGGTTGAAGTTCGAAGATATTCTTCGGACCAAAATATATCCCATGAGCGTTGATGTCTGGAGGACGTTGTGGATGGTTCCATGCTTGCAGCTTGTTTGACTTGGCCAAGCCTCTTTGCTTCAAAATTCGATCAGGTCGACAGTCTTCCGAGAGACCATACTCCTGAAGGTGATTCCGATCAACTCTACAATGCCGTTTTAGAGATCTCTAACGAGGCCACTGATGCGCTGTTTCAGGATTAACGATGCCCGAGGGATACACGATATTCTCAGACGGGTAGTTAGATCACTAGTCTAGCATCTCCAAAAACAGGTGGTACTTTCCACGTATTGCGTGAGACATACAGCCTCTAACAAGCGAGGCGTCTTGTATCCGATGCTGGCTGTCTAGGAGGGGTGAATGAACAGAGGCTAAAGTTCATCCACCACAGCTCGGTATGCTATTTTGAACGAATAGTTGCCCCATTCTCAACTTCCTTGAGCCCCCAACACCCTTCAAGCATATTTCATCTTCACTCCATCATGCACCTGTCATTGGGCAGCGGAGTATGGAATGAATCCAGAAATTTTTGTTGACCAAGACGATTCTCCTTGTCGGCGTGATTTCCTGGCCTCTAAAGTAAACTCACCCCGGAGAAGTGAGATACGACGTGGATCTTCCTTTAACATCTCTTCGATGACCACATCCTCCAATTCTCGAAACATACGTTCGCTGAATCTTAATGGCAACTTGATAATCCTACTCATGTGAGCTCCCGCTGCGGTGTACCTCCTCCCTATTCGCATTGAGTAACCTTAAAGTAATCCTCCGCGACCAGCCAATCAAAAAGGATTTTGTCAACACTGTATCGCGGCAACTCAGTTATGAATATGTCTATTCGCACTCTATTAACAAGCGGCTACTACATTTCTAATCGTTTAAAAGATGATGCCCGCCACTCCTTCCCGACAAGAATTGTTCCCTCGCCACAAAGTCCTATCGCTGGCGGATTATTTTTTCGCCGACCGGAGCCCAATCTGCCCCGCTCCAGAATCATGGCTACCCAGTACACTCAGCTCCTAATGGAGGGTGGCGTGGATTTCTTCCCAGCAGAGTCTCGGAAAACGAGCGAACGTATCCTGAAACCATGGAGGAATACGACACTTTTGAGTTAGATGAACAAGACCTGGTGTTGGCCCAGGAGGCTGCGCGGCAACAATTCAACAAGACTGAAGTACGCCCCAACATGTATTCTTTTGATTGGTCAGACGCACATGGTGCATTGTGGGACAGAGTCAAACAGAAAATCGTAAGTGAAACAGCATGTATTTGACGCAAATATGTTGAACTAACCAGCAAAGATAACGAGGTTCGGCACACGGGGTGCTAGACTGGACAGAGTCAAAACGAAGGCGGTCTCGGTAGCTGGCGGCGGGGGAATCAGAGCTATGAATGGATCCATCACAATTGCTATTCCGACACAAGAAGCCGGGTTCGAGACAGAAATATTGATACAAGCCCTGCAACCACGATGGGTTCCGAGAAAACCCTGGCGGCACAATTTATGTTACGCACTTCTACAACCCGGGACGGTAATTGGAACACAGAAGGATGAACTGCACGTGATGGCCCAGCCTCGACCGTCTTTATCCCCATCTCGATTCTCCAATGATGATTTCAGAAGGTTTAAAAGAGCAGACACTCATGCCTTTAAAGAGCGTGAAATTACAACAAACGACATACCTTTGATCCAAGGAACAATCACAGATAGCAAGTGTGTTGCTGGAGACGTTCCATTCACAAACCTATACGACTTACGACTCTTAATACTACTAGTACGAGAAGCACTGGTCCATATGATCGTGCATTTCAGCAAAATCTCATCGATCATAATATATTCCCAGATGGTTATGAATATCCAAATGGCGCATTGCCACCAGAGCCTGAGAACATGAACGATATACTGCACGCGATGGCCCAGCCTCGACCGTCTTTATCCCCATCTCGATTCTCCAATGATGATTTCAGAAGGTTTAAAAGAGCAGACACTCATGCCTTTAAAGAGCGTGAAATTACAACAAACGACATACCTTTGATCCAAGGAACAATCACAGATAGCAAGTGTGTTGCTGGAGACGTTCCATTCACAAACCTATACGACTTAGTGTACCTCCTCCCTATTCGCATTGAGTAACCTTAAAGTAATCCTCCGCGACCAGCCAATCAAAAAGGATTTTGTCAACACTGTATCGCGGCAACTCAGTTATGAATATGTCTATTCGCACTCTATTAACAAGCGGCTACTACATTTCTAATCGTTTAAAAGATGATGCCCGCCACTCCTTCCCGACAAGAATTGTTCCCTCGCCACAAAGTCCTATCGCTGGCGGATTATTTTTTCGCCGACCGGAGCCCAATCTACCCCGCTCCAGAATCATGGCTACCCAGTACACTCAGCTCCTAATGGAGGGTGGCGTGGATTTCTTCCCAGCAGAGTCTCGACCCAGTACACTCAGCTCCTAATGGAGGATGGCGTGGATTTCTTCCCAGCAGACGTCTCAGAAAACGAGCGAACGTATCCTGAAACCATGGAGGAATACGACACTTTTGAGTTAGATGAACAAGACCTGGTGTTGGCCCAGGAGGCTGCGCGGCAACAATTCAACAAGACTGAAGTACGCCCCAACATGTATTCTTTTGATTGGTCAGACGCACATGGTGCATTGTGGGACAGAGTCAAACAGAAAATCGTAAGTGAAACAGCATGTATTTGACGCAAATATGTCGAACTAACCAGCAAAGATAACGAGGTTCGGCACACGGGGCGCTAGACTGGACAGAGTCAAAACGAAGGCGGTCTCGGTAGCTGGCGGCGGGGGAATCAGAGCTATGAATGGATCCATCACAATTGCTATTCCGACACAAGAAGCCGGGTTCGAGACAGAAATATTGATACAAGCCCTGCAACCACGATGGGTTCCGAGAAAACCCTGGCGGCACAATTTATGTTACGCACTTCTACAACCCGGGACGGTAATTGGAACACAGAAGGATGAAATCTCCATGTTGCTTGCAACGTTCGAGCTTGATGACAACTAGCACCTCATATTTACTGTAGATGATTTGCGCCGTCATTAGGTATCTAGCTGAACTAAGATGCTTGAAAGATTCCCACATCAAATGGGTTAATTCCTAATCCCTCAATATCAAGAAAATTGTCTGTGGCATTTCTTTCCAATCTATCAATTTCATGAAAGATGTTCACATTAAATGGGTTAATTCCTAGCCCCTCAATATCAGGGAAATTGTCTGAGCCATTTCTTTCCATTGTATGCGTCGCAGGCGTGTCATTGCCGATGTGTCTGAACATGTCCAGAGGATCGATTTCTTGGGAATCTGCAGGCGTGTCATTGCCGATGTGTCTGAAAATGTCCAGAGGATCGATTTCTTGGGAACCTGTAACTGGGCTTATAGCAGATGGGCATCCATTCGAAGACGACCTAGAACTGTGCCCAGAGCTACTTCCTGCCCGAGGTTCCCCAGAAACGGAAACCGGGCAGTTTACTCCATCGAGTCTTTGTCGTGTTTGGCGTCTTGCAATACTATTGCAACCAATGTGCTGATAAGTGTTGGGAGGAAAAAGTTTGCCATCGGCGAGGTTACCGAAATCTATCTTGCCATTATCAGGGGCACCATGCTGCAATGGACAACTATGTTCCAAACGAACGGCGTATGTATATAGCTCGGGCTCGGTAGAATATTGTAGTTTAACTACGGTCGGATTTTGGAGTGCAAGGTTGTCTGCACCAAGCTGTTTGCATAGAGTCTCGTAGCTATATTGTCCTGATTAGACCAGTATCAATTAGAGTCGCTGGAAGACTGTATATTGTCCTGATTAGACCAGTATCAACTAGAGTTGCTGGAAGACTTACTCTTCATTCCATAGAGCAGCGATGACCGCAGGTGGGTGAAATATATAGGTGGAGCCAGAGAGAGCGGGTAGCTTCTCTCTTAAACCCTCGGCTATCTTATCCGCCGCATCGTGCCGTTCGTCATCGCCCGCTCTCATTCTTGTAAGGTGATTATTACGGTCTGGGGAGGTGTCAGCAAGAGCAGAAACAGTCTTTCAGGCCTCCATACCAGCAAACAAGTTGTAGATGACTGCCCCACAACGACATCCTTTGCTACTGTCAGAAAGATTCCTAGCAATCCGATTGATAAGTACTGCTGATTTAGCAGCCCGGTCATTATTCTTTCCACCCTTGACCTTCCCCTTTATACGGAGAAGAAATCGCATATTATAAAAATAATGCTTGTTTGCCCACATAGCAGTAGCATAGCTCCCTTGTAGATCCCTACCTAACTTGTACAATTTATTCGCGAATTCCTCTCGTTCTTTATTAGTTGTTAAAAGCGGGAAGCCAGTACTACTATCGACATGGAAGTTTGAAACGTTGCCGGTTGCCTTCTTTTGATGACTTGTCGCCTTCTTCAGGTCCTCAAGGGACCGTAGTAGCTTTGTTATGACCGTGGTAGGGTTAAAAGAACACTCGAAACCTGGCTTCATATTTGGGCGGGACTTCTTTGAAATGGTGCTAACCAAGGAATTGTCAGAACCTCTTTTCTTGTTCTGACTAGGCCTTGTGCTGTCCGTGTCGGTGAGGTCTGTTTCGGTGGTTGCATTGCTACTCTGAGATGGACTCTGCGACAACCATCTGGAGGCTGTCTCCTCACTCGTAGCCGGGGTAATTATGGTAGCAGTCTCTTGTAAATAGCGTCTGCCAACTTCGGGATGTTCCTCGCAATCGCCATTGGTTGGGGAATTTGAGACAGGCACGGCCTTATTGCTAAAAAGTGTTAGGAGTTGATGGCAGTATATGAGTTTCTGGCTGACCTATCATCTTCAAATGACCATTGAACGGGCCGAACGTAAACATCGTAAATGATTTGACGTAGTCGTTTTAGTTCGTCTTCCGATGCATTCTCACAGCACTTCGTGTATCTTTGAACTGGCCAGAAGAAGACGTTCTTGTGATGGTCGACTTTTATGGGTGAAACGAGGATCTCGCAAACACTGTAGTGGTCATTGTGGGATACCGTGAAGTAGTACAGCGTCTTTTTCTCTGAGACTGGTTCGAGCTGCTGTTGTCCACGTTTGGCCAACACAAGCCCTTTTTCCACCTGGTCTTCAGATATAAAGACAATGCAACTCCTCGCCCGTTCATCTTCCATTGTTTGAAGTCTCCGCGTGCAGGCTTGTCAATGCAGAAGGTAAAAAGAATGAGGACGATGAAGGACAGTCGAGAATGGCACACCTGCTAGTTCTACCAGTTTATTCTGCTGTGGCCCGATCAGCGGGCCGCAGGGTGGCTTACTCCCAGAATCAGTTCTGGGAGTAAGCCACAGACCCTCCCCGTCCAATGGCCGTTTGCTATGGGCAACGGCTGACATGCAGACAGGGCGTCGTGTGATACATTCATTCGCGGGTTAGGGACACACATGCCACACGCCACGGGAAAGCTTGTTTCCCAGGATGCGACTGAGGATGCGACTGGCTATGGCTCATTCCCGCAGCCGCCGGGTAGTTACGCGATTCCCCGAATCCACCCTCAACCGTGCCGTATCACATTCATCCACAAGGCATCATTTGGGAACGGATGATCTCGTCCCCACAGTTCGATCATCTTGACACAATCACAACAGAATATTACATTGTTTGAAATGAATTTGACCTCATCTTCCGCGGTTGGCCACCAGATATGAACGGATACTCAGTTACGTCCTAACAATAGTACACCCTATATTCCGTTGACAAGTTGTGACTAGAACAATGCTTCGCGCCCAGCAATGCATAAATTGATAAAACTGCTGCTATCCGCGATAGTTTTAATTTCTGAAAATCTGGTTTACAAAGCTGATCCACTATTTTTGCTGCCTTTGCACATTTGTTTACCTTCCTCAACGCCTTACAGCGACATGTCGGAAAGTGCTCCATCGCTTGATCATGCAACAGACCATTATGTTACTTCACACTTAACTCTTACGTCGTTGGTTATTTTGAATTCTATTCTGATTACTACCGAGTCTCGTCCTATTTCGCGCTGGCTTCTTGTGGCTTGCCTGTAGCATCGTCACCACCACCTACCTACTCTACCAGAGGGTAAAGCTGGCCGTTGTCTTCCGCCTGGTCGGTCCATCGGTTTTGCTAGCTAGCTACTGTGACTAAAGTAGCAGCGAAGACGCATTATCAACTGACATATTGGGAATGGATAGCTCCAAAGGCAAAGGGCAAGTCTAACCGGCAGCGGAGCTGGTTGGAAGACGACTGTCCGATTGCTACTGGTGTTACAAATGGCAGGACTCTTCGTTCGAGTTCCAAAACAGTGGAGGAGAGACCGAACATGGTATAGCAAACAGTATATGGTAACAAAATCTCTGTATACATTCACTGCCACCTTCAATTCACCAGCTCGTAGACTTTTAATCGCAGGCGTACACGGATGCCAGGCCGTATCCCAGAGATACCCATCGCCAAAGTGAAACAATCCTCAACGAATTTTTCGCCTCTATGCATCAATTTGGGCACTCTACCAAAGACTATTGTACAGAGCTGTGTGTGAGACCATCACGTATATTGTCGCGTAGGGGAGGTTGGCTTTTTCTCCATGTGTTACCTGGCTATAAAATCTCTTTTACTTTTCGTCTGGGGCCTCTCCCGTTTCCTCCAACCCTGACCTGCTGCCCATCAAAGTCTCCTTCATTCTTTTCTTTTCTCCAATGTCCTCTCAAAGACCAATAAAAATGCCGCCAATGCATCAGACAGAGCATAGTATTTGCCTTCACTGCTGCACTATTTATGATACCGAGGCATGCCGATGCAACGAAGAAGTCAGCTGTACACAAAACGTCCTATTGAGATTCGAATTCGGACCATGCTCCGCTTGTGCAGATGTTCTACACAATGATCAGGCAATCAAAGGATCTACGCTCGTTCTGGGTTGGGCTGCCCGTGCCTTCGTGGCAAGCGGCGACGATCTTACTTCCTTTGCCGTTGAAGCTGCGGTCAGGATGTCTACGGAAGGCTACTATGCGGACTCGGCCCGATTTAACTTTGAGCAAGAAGTTAAAAAAATATTGAGAGATCTCCAGCCGTCACGGATCGATCTTCGCCATTGGACCTGGAACAATATTGCCGGAAAATATAACGATGACGCGTGGATAAATCATTTTATGAATTTTATAATAGAGATTGCACGCAAAATGACCCAGAGGTGTCACAGCCACAGACAAGTTCCTGCTGTTGTAGTCCACAACAATCACATTACGGCTCCTTTTCATACCGGCGCAAGGGCCCCTTGTCATCATCATCTCCTCCAGCTGATACACGCATTATTGAGACCTCTCCCAAGTCAGGAAGTTGACCGAGTCCGAAATGGTATAACGAAAGGGGTGAGAAGGGGTTGAGCAGGGAAATATACGGGAATGGGCCTCATATCCGGCCCTGGCATCAGAGGACAATTGATTGTTGAAGACCTTTGAGTCAACTACTTAAAATGAGGCTGTCGCTGCAGGAATGGCGGGGAGCTGGATGCATTTTTATTCATACTTCTCTTCCACCTTTGATATCATGCAGTCACACAAAACTCCAGCCTTGTCTTTAACGCAGCAAATCGGGCTGACAATCTGTTCCATTTTACAGCTCTCGATTCTTAGCACAGCAGCAATATTAAAAAGCCTATTATCTGGACGCTCATCTAAAACTAGTTTCTGGTACTGGACAACTTTATGTACGTTGTATTTTTCCGTTATTGCTGGTTTAGTGGTGGGTGCTGTCTTGATGGTGGCGACATGGTGTGAACTAGGAGAGCATTCGGTGGAATATTGGGCGGATTGCGAGTTATCAGTGATGCTGCTCTGGAGTATGCTATTAGAGGTGAGTATACATTGGCTAGGAAATGGGAAAAATACTGAACCTAATCCAGAGTATTGCATTGGCTGGTCTGACAGCGACGGCTTTTGGGAGAACCAATGCCCAAGGGGTCGTGATGAAGGGAATTCTACTAGCCTTATCACTTACTGGGATCGGGTTGCTATCGGCAGATTTTCAGTTCAGATCGTCGTCGCGACTTTTGCCGATGTCAGCTGTAGCCGCTTTTCGAGGATCTATGATGCTGTCATGTTTCATTTTGCGCCTCGAAGGAGTCAGGCGAGGTAAAAAGGCAAAATGCCAGAACTGGAAGCTTTGGCTTTCTCTGGACATTCGAAGTTGCTTCGAGATCGTCACCTTTGGGCTTTCTTTTCTCTCATTTTACGATGTCTTAGCATCACGCATAAAATATAAACTGGTGAGATGTTCTTCCATCATCAACCTGCATACGCTGACAGGGTAGGTTCAAAACGGAATGTTCACAGTCATCGGAATTGTGAGCCTTATCACGGGATTTAGGAGATATCGCCAGTGCAGGAGTGAGGAGAGAGACACCAACAGGCGGCAAATAGCTGGTGAAGATACGACGGATGGAGTTTTACTTTGGAATAGGTCAAAAACAAAAAATACGTCAAGTGATTCTGAGATCGAGCTGGTACCAAAAGATGTTTAGAAGAGGGTGTCGCATATCAGGCCTACCCAAATCTTGCCTCCTGAAAAACTGGGACACTGCAGTAGCTGCCTGGCAGGTAACTGCTCCTGCCTGAAGTATCAAAGATTTATTTGGTGTATAAAGATCTGCACGGTTCCCCTGAAACGCCTGATGGAATTCTTGTTCCTTAGATAATTGTCATTTAATAAAATTGGCGCCTTCAGCACCATTATACTCGAACTTTTGTGACCTCAATTGTCTGACAGAGGGTGATGCTCCTGCCTGACAAGCATATTGATATAACTACTGCTCGTATGCTATTGCCTCATGGAAGCTTGGACCACTCTGTATTGACAGAATAAAAACCGACGTTCGTTGACATAAAATCATAGACCACTCATTTCAATTGTACTTGGATATCTCTTTCTAGTGTATTGTATGGACCTTTGAAAGCTTCACTGACCACTTTAAACGCTTCTCTAAGAACCTGGAATACACTAATAAGCCCGCAAACTTCGGCGCTGGAAAGTACCTCTGAATGTTCTGCACCACCATGCCGCTCTCTCCGTAGGTGCAACCCTTCTGGATACCGGCTAGTCCTCGGTAGGGAAGATATCTTGTTGTTGCACCAGGGACGCCCCCCTGAACCGGGGAATACAGTTTTGGCAGCCTCATTTCCCTAGCTCAGGGGTTCGTGTTGTTTGTCAACACACTTTGGACACCGTACATTATTCACGTGGAGGCTGATCCATTGTTCCGTAGGATGTATAAGTATGACAGTCCTTCCTTCCGTGGCGGTTCTAACTCAGATCTTCAGATTTTATTCAGGAAGAGCTCATACCAGTGTCCATGGGGAATCCCATAGCCTGGTCATATTACATTAAAACACCACCAAATCAACATTTAAGACCTGCAGGGTCCGCATTCGTTCCTACCATGGTCTCCACTGGCAGAAAGCGCAGAATCAAAGTATATCCATTATTCACAATCGGGGGATTGACTAAACCTTACAACAGCTGAAAGTCTAACATGGAATATATGTAGTGTGAAGGGGCGAAGGCTCGCAGGCTCTGTACCAGACCTAAAACCGATATCGCATTTTGCCACAAGACTGGCGTGGAGTACGCAAGAAAGAAAGGGCAGAAAACCACAATAGTGACCTCGCCCAAGCCAACCACAACACAGGACGTCATTTCATCACCAGATAAGGCGCTTGCGTCATCTCGCAGAGTTTCGAAGGCCTGTACGGGTTGCAGAAAGTTCCGAGTCAAGGTAAATGCACTGCTTGGAGATCAACTAACCTCGTAATAACCGAAGGTCTAACAAGAAGTCTATGTAGTGTGAAAATTCGAGGCCCTGTCAGCAGTGCATCAAGTCTGGGAGAAAATGTACCGCACCCGAGGAAAGGACTGTTACTCGATACGGATATTCGGAATCTTCCGGCAGAAAATTCGCAAAGGATGAACCCCTGAATGCTATATCACAGGATGAGAAAGTTGCCTCATATTCGACACCGAAGGCAGGATCCTTGCAGCTGCGCTCCCCGGACCTTCCCCAGATGCCTCTGCAGGAAAGGGCAATCGCTTACTTTTTGTATCATTATGATCTTGAATCGCCTAGCCAGAACAAAATTGGCGGTATGGGTTTTGTTATCCTACCGAACAGCGACAAGGAATGGGAGCATTACCGACTGGCATTTGAAGCTTGCGCTATGGCGTCGTTCATCAATGAGACGGGCGGTCAGCTTGAATACAAAAGCTTGACTATTGAGACATACAATAAAGCGCTGACGGCGATGCATAGCGCACTTCAAGATCCAGATGTCGTTTGTGAGGATGCAACCTTGGCTGCAGTTTTACTTCTAGCGCTGTTCGAATGCTTAAATCCTACGACTGGGGAGCAAGAAAGCTGGCGCAATCACGTACAGGGTGCTATTGAGTTGGCCCGAGGACGCGGTCGCAAACAGATTGACACCCGAATTGGACAAATGCTATTCAGGGCAACCCGCACTTTAATGGTAAGATTTCCATAAACTTCTCAAGTCCACGGTTTTATCGGGTTGATCTTCAAGTTTACATCGTGATGTAGACTCTCTAATAGCTTACTTGCAACAGGTAATATATAGTCTCGCAACACTAGAAGACAAAAAGGAGAAAGAGCTCTGGTGGTCCGGAGACGATGAATGCACTTCGACCCAAAAGCTTTGCGTTGGAGTGGCTTCGCTTAGCGCGAAGGCTACGGCCCTTCTTGGTCCGTCCGGACATGAAGAGGAAGTCGAAGTCGAAGTCATGCTTAAGCGGTGTCAAGCTCATGATCGAACTTGCAAAGCCAGGTGGGACGAGTTGTCAAAGAGTACACAGGGCATTAGCTCTAACAATACGGACCCCTGGCTGCTGATGCTTCTGAATATGCTGACATGTGCACGAATCCTCCTGAACTCAATCATTATGAGATGCGCGACCTGGACTTACAAGGTCCCCAATTATCAAACCTCTGAAGAGTATGATGGCGCCTGTTCTGCTCTGGCGGAAATTATTCTTCACAGCGCCAAGGTCAACGAACAGCAACTCTGCTGGGCCGGAGAAGCGCAGTCGTCGTTTGCAGAACTCGACGTTCAATTACAGCCTGACCGGGATTCGAGCGGATGCGCCATCAACAAGTGGATAGAAGATAATAGGGACCTCAGGAAAGAGAAGCCATTGGTAGGGTTACAACCGTTAGCCCTTATCTGGTCTTTAAAATGCCTCACCGATGACCAGATAATCGCCGTCGACACCCGATTACAACGCATCCTGGGAATCCGTGGGGCCTTACCACTTCATGACCATAGGGCTAGTATGCCGTCATATCGGTTCACGGTGGAGACGCCATGCTCGTCACCCTACACTAGTGAGGTTTGCTGCACAACGGATCCTCGCAAGCCTGGCGTGCGAGATTCTGCCCCACATCCCAAACGTACCAAGTACACGGAGGAGGATAGAGATGCTCTTCTTGATCTTTACGAGAAGGGTACCACTTGGCAGGTATTACAAGACCGCTTTCCCGGTCACACTTTACGTTCGTTGAAAAGCCAGGTAAGGGTACTGAGAGAATCTAAATTCTTGTTCACTGACGACGAAGATCGGACTCTTATTCGACTAAGGGAAGAAGAGTGTTTGGAATTTGGAGTCATTGCCCAACAATTACACCACAGGCCAGTCGCGGTGTCGAGGCGGTACAAGCAATTGCGTCCTGGCAGTGTAATAAATAGCAGGCCCGTGGACATAGATATCAAGCGGCTTGTTGACTTAAGGAATCAAGGGCACTACTGGACCGACATTCAAGACACCTTTCGCGGTTGCTCTAAAAAGAGGCTTCGAAAGTTGTACTCTGAGTACAAGTCTCACTCCTTGGCTGCCAGCCTTAAGGAGATTAAGGTTCATCCTCAGAATGGGATGTGAAGATAGTAGGAATGAATGGGAAGAAAATTCTAATGAAAAAATTGCAATTATCCAGAGCTTTCTTCGCCAACACGTGTATAACCACAAAGTGATTTACAAGACTGCTCAGGCACATCATCGAGCATGGCACAAGCGAATTGATGACGATTCAAGTTGAGAACAAACTTTAAGACCGAAGCCGCATATACAATCACAAAAGCGCTACAGAAAGCACATCCAGGGAACAGTTCCGGTTTTATGTCATATTTGGGCCTGTAAAACGATTCTAGAGTAGCTTGGGGACAATTAGACAGTATGATATGGCTCTCACACCTTTTCCTGTCAAGTACATTGGATTGTCAAGGATCACCAAAATCGAACAGCAACCCTTATGACTCTAAGAACACGTAAAGTTTCGACAGTAAAGAAGACACAGATCGACGGGATACATGCATGATGATGAGGGGTAGAAATTAAACTAAGCGATGCTATAAAAAGACTCGTTTGCCGTCGCAGTCTCCCCCCATATCTTGACCCCTCAGCATTATCACCATCTGACCTAAAGTCACGAAACAACAATCGCGGAAGGTAATGCGCAGGGGCAAACTGCACCCACGTTTGAGCTTTATGACTGCATGTGTGGCTACTACCTTTTGAGGAAAGTTAACGAGTCATTAGCTTTTGTTGCTACGCCAAAGCCATAAAGGTGAAACTACATACTGTATACAATGCCTATCAACTCCCATCTTTGCTTGCAAGACGCTGTCAGTATGGTCCCCCAGAGCAAAACGACAAGCCGAAGAGTTTGCAGAATTTTTAATGTTAATATATACAGAAACAATAAAGCAATACTCGAGTCAAGAACAGGGGGCAGTAATGGTCATACGAAATGAGCCTCTACAAAGTCAATACGCATTCAATGTTGCCGCTAGCATATACGAACCATTCCACGAAGTCTTCGGCCTTACTTGGCGACATCTTCATACTTTAGTGTTTTTGTGGACAATTATTACTTTATTGAGTCAAATATGGCGAACATTCCGACAATCGGGGCAATGTCAGCTACCTCGACCAACCACACAATCGGAACGGCAAAAGCAGCGTGTCAAACTCGCAATACCAATGCTATATAATATTAAGTTACACTTCGTCTGGAGGCCGAAAAAAGGAGGGGTTATAGGAAAACTTGGTGTGTCGCTGACAGATATCAAGCTATTGGTCATTGCAGAGCGGTCTAGTGACTCGGAATGGTCGCTTAAAAGTCAGGCCAAATTCTATGGAAGTTTGTCCATGGTCAAATGCGCGACTGATATTCAGTGGAAAATGAAACGGCAATTATTTCAGAATCTTCCACAATCTTGGTGGCTGAAGAAAAGGGCACCATTTCAGATGCTCATCCTCAAAGAGGCATGTGTCTCAAGTGATGATACGGCTGTAGTATAAAACACAGGTCCTACTAGAATATTGCTCATGAACCTGAATGCCTACTCTTCAGGTGATCTGCAGAGAATTTCCCACATAGTTTTCTTATCTCAAGGGGAGATCAACCGCCGTATGGGGAATGTTGAGGTAACAGAAGGTAACTCAAACATAATGTTACCTTTGGGGGCTGTCAACGAGGAAAATATCATCCCAGAAATTTTGACAGCCTTGAGGTCTCCGCGAACGCGCTTTGTCCTAAGCTATTACAAAACCTCCCATTCAATTTGATACGTTGCCATGTCTTCTCACTCTTCACCCCCGGTCTCTGCAATCTAGTTTCGGCTAGACTATATCTCTAGGATCTGCGGCTTACATTGTTGCCTGTGGTGCAATTCCAAGTTAGCTTAGTGAACATTCAATCGTACGATATGGGTCCGGCCCCTTTCACATCCGGTGCATTCAGGAGCAGCGCAATCCAAATCCTAGGATGGTTTGCTCCAACCGCCTTGAGCATTCAATGGTGACATTTTAAAAGGTTGAAGACTTTCTTATAATGGCCTATAAATACCTCAACCTCAACATTTCACCTCCATGAAACGAGGTGATATCTTCATACCAGCTACGACCACTTTCATGAGCTGGTGTTCATAAACAAGCAGGCACTTCTACAAGCATCGAAATGGAAACCGAGACCAGCCTGACAGCCCCGCCGAACACACCCGAAAAAAACCCTTACGAGGGTGTTTGTCAACGCAAGGTCGATGCCCAAAGTCGCAATTTGGACCCTACTTCTTGCAAGTCCTTTTACTTGCCTCATGAAATAATCGAAATATCTTCTGAGAGTGACGGCAATAGTGATGAGGTTACCGTTCCGAACAGTCCAAGAGTTGTTGAAGAAGATATCAACGAAGGCGACCAGTCCTCTGATAATGCTTCCCGTGCAGATGCAGCCGAGGATGACGTCAATGACAATAACAACAATGCCAACGACGGAAGCATCGTATATTCCAATAGCCTTTTAGCAACTGATTGTCTCCCGGATGGGGGTCACGCCAGGTTTGCTAATACGGCAGAGGGGTCATCGAGCAAGTACGGTATCATCACCATGAGGCTTGACAGTCCTGCAAGTAAAAAATACGGTGCTATCGGGCAAAAGTTTGGTGAAGACGGTCATGTTGACGGCAGTGAAGGAAGTAGCGAATGCAGCAATGGGAAACTAAAGAGAATCTACGACAGATACGAATCACCGCCCGACAAAGTTCCAGAGCATGACCCACTATCAAAAAGGAGAAGAACAGCAAAGCGTCTATAACCAAACTCAAAGATTCCGATATTACTGCCGAGTATATCATTGATCATCTTGGAGTGGTCTAGTGGCTCGGAGTGGTTCCATCAAAGATCAGGAGAAATAAAATGCTTCTCTGCTATAAAGTCATGATCATTTTCTTATTATAACATATTGGTTGTTGAAGCATGCCGCCGTGTCAGGGGCTCACTTCGCCTTGATGGTCGAAGAGGCAGGTCCTTACATTATGATATGTTTGCAGTATAATATACAGATTTTCCCAGTTGGACTCGTATGGACTTTGAGCCTCTCTTGCTACTGAAGCGATTTTGCTATAAGAGGGTTCGGTAGGCCTTGTGGTTGGCCGTTCTCCAGTACATTTGGCCAGCGGTGGACGAGAAGAGCTTTCGTGTTGACACCATCGTTTCGGGGTAGAAGCCTGAGACTGTTGAATTGCACTTCACTGGCCGGGACCAGGTTAGGTTGCATGTATGAGTGATGCTTGCCAGCCTTCGGTTGAACTAACCACACCGAAGAGCACAACCATGCAAAGGACAAGTCACAATTACCATGCTCCTGAGGCCAGCAAACAGTCCCAGGGAGTCAGGCAGCTCGTATTCCCCCCGGAGGGCTTTGCCCTGTTATTCGTTGCGTCGTCCTGGGGTGCGTTATCACAGCAACATCTGCTCTCCCTGTCACTGCGAGACAACCCAACCCATGAAATCCCACGATACGGCTCTCAAATCACTTCTTCTACTGGCTAAGATATCCGCAAGGCGACCAAAAGGCTGCCATTGCTCGGTGCGAACCACTTTCATCAGAGGCTCGATTGTGCGGCATAAGAACTGCCCTTAGGAGCCACATTTGTTCGAACCTGGAGCCCTCTCATTGTCTCGTCCCATTCTTACTCTTGAAGACATCCTTAACACAACAACTCACCCTGGAGAGCGTATCAGGTGTAGTCCTGTTGTGCGATAAACCCGAGATTCACAAGCGTCACACGAGAGTATCTTGGAATCATACCCACCCCTAACCGCAACACGTATACCCCTTAGACTATGGACTCGGCTCCATGGGATACGAAACCACTGTCACAGTCATTGGTGACCAATGAGCAACTCGGAGAAGGTACTCGTCCTGTGGAACCCACCTCTAGCTGCCATGAAGGCGGCTTTGAGCGCTTCCCGCGCCGTTGCGACGATATCACCGAGTCACAGTGAGTTGGCCTATTACTCGGAAATGGTAGTCCGAGATCTTAAAAAGGATGTTGAACTGTGGTGTTAATAGCATTGACTAGTAGGCCGTATTCATCCGTCGCTTCAACTGCTCAGCAACGCAGCTTATCACCGTCGACTCTGGTCAGGCGTCGCGTTGGACCAGTTGACAGAGATGAGGACTTCGTCTACAATAAAAATCCGGCGAGACCTGGCGGATCTCGTCAGCATAGAGGCCAGTCTTTTGATGCGGCATCGGGATCAGGAATGCTTCTGCAACCGGATACTCGAGTCATAACTTCAGACCAGCTTGCCGCGGAAGTCCAAGGTATTTACGCCGGACTGGCTTTACTCGAGAGCAAATGCATTGAGTATGACAGCACACAGAAGGAGACTGATCTAAGCCAAGGGCAATATCACGTATTAATTTCCCTTCACTGGTCACTTCTCCATGAGCATCATGACTTTCTATTGGCACCCAGCACCCATCGGCGAGCGCCGCGCTCCGAAGACTTGCATCTAAGTATTTTATGCCTGCACGAATGTGGCGTCATGGTATACACTCGTTTTTAGAGCTTCTAAGGCGGAAACTGCCTGGCTCGCTCGAGCATATGCTTACCTTCATTTATATCGCATATACCATGATGGCGGTACTATATGAGACAGTTCCCACGTTTGAAGATACGTGGATAGAGTGCCTTGGTGACTTAGGGCGTTACAGGATGGCAGTTGAAGACGATGATATCCATGAACGAGAAACTTGGACTGGTGTATCAAGATCCTGGTATACTAAGGCTTCGGATGAGACACCAACGACTGGACGACTTTATCACCACCTAGCGATTTTGGCACGACCAAATGCCCTGCAACAGTTGTACCTCTATGCTAAATCTCTCTGCGTTCCAGTCCCATTCCTCAGCGCTAGGGATAGCGTCATGACGCTATTCGATCCCCTCTTAAATGCAAATCCAAGCGCTTCTCAACGTCTGGAGCCAGTTGATGTAGCTTTTGTGCGAGTTCATGGCATACTCTTCTCTGGCACACATGAGGATCAGCTCGAGCCCTCGATGAAGCAATTTCTGGAACTTCTGGATAATCGCATTGGAAGAGAACATGGAAATTGGCTTGAATCTGGGTAGGAGACGTCATTACAATAACATGAGATCTTCAAGCTAACTAAGCTAGGTATTTTATTGGCATCTCATTAAGCTGTCTTCTCCTAGGTTTTGGAGATGCGTCAAATGTCCTTATGAATGCTGTTTTGAAGAGTCAACAAGTAGACGACACTATAATGGATGATCTTCCAGATCCGGTGCTGACTGACGCATTCAACACAGCGGTGGGATTTGCAGCTCGCACGTATGAGATTGTTATTGCTCGGTGGGGTGACAAGAACACATTGCCATGCCTTCATACCCTCTTGGTATTCTACTGGTTTATGATGGATTTTGACGTAGGGAGACAGTACTTGGAGGACTCGCTCCCATGGGAACAGACTGCTTTACTACTTAACTATCTATTACGGACTAGCGAGTTTACACCACGGTTGGATACCCCGGAAATTCCGTGGCCCGAAGGTGGTAAGGCGCATCATCTTCCCGAAGACTATGCTATGCGTGGTTTAATCTATACTGGAACCTATTTTCCGAAGAAGTGGATTGATAATACGGCGATTGATGATGACGAAAAATACTTTGAGCCTGCGTCAACGGTTAGTAAACGTTGCGAAAGAATCTTATGGCTGGGTTATAGCATGGCAATGAGGAAAAGAAGACTACACTGGGACGAGAAAACTGGGCAGTTTTCGACTAAGAGTAATGAGAGTAATGACGACAACCAATCGACAGATGACGGCACTTCCGAGACCTCGAACCCGGCTTGATTAGGCAGTCGTGATGGGGACTCTCCAGGAGGGAAATAAAAAGGGAAGGACCGGCCGATCGTGGTTCGCAAAAGAAACATTTGAGAATCGATCCTTCGAACACCTGAGCAGTCGCAGAACCTATTTTGTGCATCACTGATTTGGCTTGCTGTATGAGATGGAGGGGGGTGTAAATTAGCGGCGTCGGCACAAACAGCCAGTTAGAATGGGTAACTGCTATATGTCACGGTGCTTGTATGTGCTATTCTTCTAGCTTTTTGTACTCCTCAGTACCGCATATTCCGTCCAGCATAAGTTCATCTGAAGCTAACTTGCCCTGCAGAGTAGGAATACCCGCCTCGCAAGAATGTACTCAAGACTAATTCAGGACTACCACTGGTGTAAACCTATTGTCAGGTAAAATATACATATCAAGTCGTACATGTCGCACTTTATAACAGTTTGATTTGATCGTCTTTTGTGTGCTTCTTTGCATGCATATCTTTTGTCTCCATACATGCGTTTAATTTCCACATACGAAGTCATGCAAATGCGGGTAAGACGGTGGCAACGACGCAATATTAAATTGGCGCTCGTTGAGTGCAGGAACGAACTGAAGAGAGCACATGTTGGTCGCAATGAGACCTTTCCCGAAATATAAATAATTACAAGTTCCCGCACGTTCAAATCCAACTATCCGTTTTTTTGCCCAGTCAACGTACATCTTAGTTGATTTAATTTGTCTTTTGCTCTTCAAAAATGTCTGACAAAGACAGCACACTCTTTATTGGCGATTCGGACCCAACATGCCCAGCCGGAGTGACACCACAGCCGGATGGATATGTATCCGGACAGTCATATCAGCAAACGTATCAAAAATTCTCCTGCAGTCGAATAGATATGTATCTGGGAAACATCCTTCCTGAATGGCCCATCTTTACACCGGATGAAGTATTGGCCATGCGACAGAAATATCTTGCTGGCCAGGGCTCCGACAACGATCGACTATCAATGTTGGTAATCATAGATTTGGCGGATACTATGAATCCATTTCATAGCCAGGATATTCAAGAGCTCCAATTCAGTCTTGGCTATAGGCGAACTATACAAATCCATGCACTCTTGGCACTGTACTGGAAGCGTCGCGGATTTCATGGCTTTGCGAATGAACACATCACCAAAGCAGTTGCTTTAGGATCCTCTTCTCGGTAGTCCTGAAATCGCACCCGACATGAGGATTCAAAGACTGATGCTTTAGCAGGTTTCAGTGGGAAAATTCTCGCCTTGAAGATCATTTCGCCGATATCGTTGCACTCTGGTGTTGCTGCTTTATTATTAGGTAAATTCCCTTTTTCGCGTTCCCCTATTCCTTGCCACAGATAAACCCAACTGACACCAATAGCGAGTATCCTATTCACACAGACATGAATCCAGTTCCACCATCTTTATACAAATACCTGCCGTTACCATCCAAAGACGATATCGTACAAAAATTTGGCACAAATGCTGGAGCCTTTTTCGAACTCCGAGTCGCGTATATTTCACCACGGCTCACCTCAATTCCCCGGCCTCAGCTTGAGTGTCTGCCTCTAGAGCTTGTCGAAGTACCCACTCCTCTTGTAACGCTAAAAGAACGCTATATACATACGCACGACCTTTGTATAAACCACCAACAAAGCCGCTTCACGTCTCTGGAGTCATACATTAAGATGATACAAGAATTCGAACCAGCCAACAGACGTTGGGCATTTCTGACGTAATTTTCTATTCATTTTTAGAACTCATGGGGGCAAGGAAAATACTAACATCATTTTAGAGAACGATTCTGTTTGTATCAGTTGACAGCCATATACTCCGATTGGAATCAAAGATATATTTGCATGTTACTAGTTAGGAGGGCGCTCCTGTTTTTAGACCCGGTTCCCGACTGCCTTACAATCATGGACGTTAACTCAATTTGGGCCCTATGGTGGAAGTTATGGGGAGATCCTTGCCTGCCACATTCCACATGAGGGAGGAGCCTACGAGGCCGAGGTGACTCGAGGGCGTGGACAAGATTGGCGGTATGCATCATCACCTTGTTGACAAATACAGACGACCGGTGAAGCCTCATGCGGGCTAAGAATGGAACAACCGGGAAGGTAAACGGGAATGACAATCACATCAGATTTGGAATGAAGATGATTGTTGAGCTGGCGCATCATACTTCCTTTGCAGGTATATGCACACGGCTTGTTTTATGGAGCTCTGTAGAGATAACATTGGCGCTTGCAGAGGACGCAGTTGATATGATGAAAGGCCATAAAATGCAGTCACCTAGTCTAAATGTGCCACTTGCATCTAGATGGATGTACCATAAATGTCTTAATTTCATATGGCTATAGTCTTGCGCCGACAACCTGCTCCGCGGGTTTGTATCACTATAGGGGCAATAAGCGGTCTGCATGAGCAATATAGCACAGGGGGGGTGTAGTTTTGTATTAATGCAACGCCTTAAAAGTCTGCTCAGACCAAAAACCATCTGGTTGTGTGTAAGACTGGCGAATGAGGACTCAAGTGAGGAAATGATTTGACAAGTGACAACTAGCACTGTCACACCTTCACATTCATGCAAGCGTCTGTGTGACCTTTGGCGGCTCAAACTATGTGACAACAACTATCTTGGAAGAATACGGCGGGACTGCCCGCATGGACGTCACTTTTCGTAGCGTCTCTTTAGCTGTAGACAAGGGGGCGTGAGGTTCATGACTTGGTTTACGAGGGTCTGAATTCGGGTAGCAAAGCATCAGACGGGAAGGTGCAGACATAACTGACCGCCTCCCTTACTTTCTTGGAAGTGTTTTTAATTTGCACTTAACTCTGTGTTTCTTGTAGCATGTGGTTGAGCGGAGGACATTGGACTTGGGGGCATCAAGGTATAAATTGCAGCACATCCCCTTCCGAGAAAGATCGCAATCTAAAGAGATATATCACACTGTTTGCAAAAACATACAATATAAATCTATTAGTTTGTTCCTTTTATTAGTTTCTCGCTTCTCATAGCGCCTACTCCGGTCAACCGCAGTTTTTGCTACGCAGCTTTTCTATTTATTTGCTGACACGGATTTCGTCATCTATCACTCTCCGTCCACGCCCGGCTAGTCATCTTCACGAAAAATTCGCGGACATGGAGTCGAGCCGAAGCGCCCCAAAAATTGCAATACACGGCCACATAGCAAGACCTGGGGGGAAGTGCTCTGCGGTGGTGTACGATACAGCCAACCACGATTGGCATGGAGTAGAAGTCGAAGTAACCTGTCGCGGGGCTGAAGAAAAGACGACGGATATAACGTGGCTATCATGCATAATTGAAGAACATCTCAGACGTAGTTACGTTGACATTAGGGAAGATCCGGACCATGAATGGAGTGCGGATGAGACAGACTGCCAGAACAACTCGTACACTATTCGAATATGGCCGCGCAGTAGGGTGCTGTTTTACGGTCACAGAACCGACATATTCCAGCCCACAGCGTTGGACATAAAAAGCACGCACCCATTGGGTCACAGAGTTTACCGATGCTCTTGGAAAGGTCAGGAATGCGTGCTGAAGTACATTGAAACCGATACCGATGCGGGTGCGATTGAGCTCGAAATCGAAAAACGAAAAGATCTTATAAACAAGGCACAGATACCAGTGAACCAAGTCAATTCGGAAATGTCCAGACGCTTCTGTCTCGTTCCCATTCTCGCCGTTGTTGTGGCCGATTGGCAACCCAGAAAACCCAACACAGTTGTGGGCATCCTCATGCCTTATGCCGGCGAGGATTTGGGTATCTTGGCAAAGAATAGTGGAGGCAACCTACCCATTACACTTCAACAACTTCAAGACCTAGTCCGAGGCGTTCGAGAGCTTCGGAAGTACGACCTTTTCCAGGGTGACATAAGGCCGTGGAACACGCTCCTTCAGCCTTCAACAACGGCTTCCAAGCCGCGTCTAATGCTCATCGACATCGACATGGAGCTCCCAGGATATCCTGGAGATGCAAAGGCATTAGGGAAACTACTGCGGTGGTGTCTCGAAAACTCGATGGCATTGAGTGAAGATAAACAAGCTAAAGTAAAGCTTATTAATGCCGTGAAAGCGCTCTTAAGTGAAAATTTCGACATGGCCATTGACTGCCTATCTGCGACAGAGCAGTCTATGCGACGAGGCCCCCCCTTCTACGTAAGTGTTCAAGGTTTCCATCCATGACCTGGATTATGTTATTATGGACTAATATAGTGTATCTAGACATGCCAACAAGGTGGGCTAGATTGGGTGTAACAAAATTCCAATTGACACCGCTATACTAGGATAGGTCATCTAGATGAGCTCTCGTTCATATGTCCAATATAAAGGGATCAGGAATTTTCAATGTTCATTTTGGTGACGCTATGTAACGGGCTAGAGATATCTGACCCCGTCACAGTGTGCTGCCACATGAGATTGAAATTGGTTGATATGTTACGTATAGAACTAAGCCTCAACGGTAAAACTATCTGAATATGCTTAGATATCTACCGTCGCGCCAGCCAGCCTCCCCTTGAAACTCTTCACTCTCTTCAGCCCCTATTCTCAGAATTATCTTGGGATTTCGAAACCCATTAACTCGGCCTCCTCTATTGTCATATCATATCTAATCCATGTTTTGTTGTCGTCCAATCCCTGTCCATTGAGGTCGACGAATGTCCCCTCGAAATGTTTCTTTTCTTTATCAGTGGCCCAGGGCCGGTACTTGTAAGTTTTGTTGAAATTGTCTTTGCTTATTTGTATTGTTGTTCCGTCGGGAAATGTATGGAAGAGAAGCCAAGTTGAGGGATTGTAGAACGACGCCGGTAAGAGTAGATATCCGGTCTCTTTCCAGGCTCGACAAAGCGGAGAAAAGTCTTGGGCTTGTTCCATTAAGATGTCTTTTATCGTATCTAGTGAGAGTATGAGGATTCGAACGACAGAAAATGGTTGTCGATATTCGAGGGCTGCCAACGTTTTATACCTCAGGACCACCTCTGTAGGGACAATGTCGAAAAATTTTTTATGTCGACATTGAATGCCGTCACAACCATGCTGTACCTTCAGTTGCTATGTTGATGATGATGGTTAGCCTGATGTTCTGATCAATGGCTTGTGTAGCTAACAAGGCCACTGATGCAGGTGCTAGAGGGGCTCAAATATCTGCTGCAATTGATGGTCTGCTGCCATGTCAAGTCGCTCTTGACCGGGCTTTGCTGTATAAAAGGTCGGACAACCCGCCGTTCTACCTCGCAATAAGGAGCTATTCAGTTCCACTCTTCCTTCGGCTCCCAGATATTTGTATGTATACTATATACAATATTGTTCTAGTCTCAATCCTAATTTTTCCTAGGTTCACCAAGGCATCATATCTGCCTGGATGTAAGATGATTAGCTCTGGCAGATCAGGGTCTTGCAGCACCTGCGGGCACTTCAACGAAGTTCATCGCAGTGAACCGTGTGCAGCACGACGATGCCGCAGAAAGATCAAAGTTTGTGGCAGCACAGTTCACACCCTCATCCATATGGATGGCACTGTTGACGAGAATTGGACTGGATGGGTAGTTTGCAGGCCGTGTCCTGAGCACGGACGGGAGAGCAAGGATGTGGACTATAGTAGCTGTCCTGTTATCGCCAAGGATGATGAAGGCAATCTTGTTATCGTACAATACGGTGTAGAGTACTGAGTTGGTCTATCAGTTTTCTGGGAGGTAACAGATGTATTGCCGGTCACGAGCAAGATTTGTCGGCTAGTAATGCAATAACAAGATTAGTAGGCTGTTGTGAAAACCATCAAGCAGTGTCAGATATCAGAACCTCCGGTGTGAACGGTGGCAATATCATCAGAAGCTGTCGATAGAGGGCTGGTTTTGACCGTGAATGGGGACCGATGACGTTAATAAGTTTATTATCGAGACAGCTGGCGCGATATTGTCTGTGCAGCGACGCGGTGGTGACACCATTAGTTGGGTTGACAGGTTTGCTGCCTGATAAATCAGGCCGAGCGAGCTAGAGACTGTATTTAAGGCTCTCCATTCCTCCATTCAGCATGATCACAGGATACCCCAAAAGTAGCACCACCATTTTCACGTCAAACTTCCTCGATGGCCTTGAGCACCCTCAAGTCATCGTTGCCAACCTACTACTTAGAGTATGGCAGATGCCCTTCGACCAGACAACGAAACATACAAGTTTTATTATGAAGCAGGCTACCGGTTGTGGCATAGCCTTTGCTCAAGCTCAAACACATCTCCTTTGGATGCAACCAGCTTAGACATTGAAAATGCGTTTCCCCAGCATCCCTATTTTCCGCCACAGCTAGAGCTCGATCGCAATTCCTCTACCGTCCTATATGCGACGGGAACATCTACTTGGGAAACCAGCAATGGTAGTTGCAACCTACCCTCCTTGCAGATAGGACTTACCTTTGGAGTTACGATAGCCTGCCCAACCGCCATTTCTCTTCAATCGAGTCGCCTAATTGACAGCCCGAATCTCTTCGATGAGGAATCCAAGCATATGTTGGTTCTCACCCTCGCCTGGGCCTATGTACTATCTGCACGATGGACGGAGATCATTCCCGGGGCATCAACTATGTCATATACCGAAAGCGTGGCTACGCGCGACAGCCGTGACAACGCCCGCAACGGCGACGGCGATTTAATCGTGGACCTTGGTGACATTACATATGAAGCAGCGCGGTGGTGGGCGGCCATTCTTGCTCCCGAAGAAGGCTGGGGCGCTTGCAATTTTCACAACGGCAGGGTCTTAAAGTCGCCGTGGTCTGTAAAACTGGAGTCTTGCAGGACGTTGGCTCTACGTTATAACGCCGTACCCTCGCCTCTGGAATGGCATTCTTCGGCATCTTTCTCCACTGCAATGGCTTACGTCCTTGACTACGCAATCTACCACGGACTTCAGAACCAAAGTCGAGCGGCATTTGCTGCCGCACTCCTGCTGCCGACACGCCACCGCATTTCGAAGCAGGTTCGCTGGCCCCGTATGCATCTTCCCCGCATGCAACGGTCGAAACCTTCCGTGGAACAGTACCTTCCGCCGTGGGGGAGCAACAGCTGTCAGTTGGATAGATTGCTCGCCCTTAGCTGCAATACTACAGGAATCATCTCGCTCTTGTGCAGCACGTTTATTGAACCGGACATCCCGTGCAATGTCTGTGGCGCTTGGATTCAAGGCGCTTTTGCAATTCTTGACACACAAGTCGCCAAAGAGCCGCATATTCTGGCGCAAATGCTTATGTGCCGGGCTCCCAACTTGAATTTTCTGTGGTTAGGGGGCATACTTATGAACGTCCAGCACTACATCATGAAATGGGCTCGCCCTGTTGCGTTTCAGATTGATCTACATTCTGCGGCCTGGACAAACAGCTATGTTTCTTTCATCCAGAAACCTGTGTCGCGCACTGCTTCAAATGCGACAACGGTGCAGCGGTCGGACGAGGCTCGATTAATGTTCCTATCGCAGGCTGACCATCACAGCAATCCCCCTCTCGTCCCGTTCACGCCATTTGGCTCCATTGCCCTTAAAGACTGCATTCTCGAGGTGCAAATGCACGTCTCCTGCCCCGGCTATCACGGCTTAAGATATGCCGGTTGGGCATGGAACTGCAGGAACAACACTAAGATTGCCCAAGACCCAATTGAAAGCTCTTTTACACCCAGCTCGAAGGTAGATAATGCTGTTGCTGGCCATACTACCATTCACTATGACAACCTTGACCGTGACAAGGACTGTTCAGAGTCTATGACGCGAAACATGTTTAAGTGGCTTCGCGAAGCGGACGGGTTTCCCGTCGCTGAACGAGCTATCAGAGAGCATGAATGGATTAACGGGGGGTGGAGCTCGGAGGAAGAAAGTGTCGCACCAGAGGGTGATGGAAAATCGACCACAGACCAACAAGTTGGTCCATGGATCTGCCGGGGAATAACGACTAGATGTAACACAATTTGAACATGTTGTAACCAGAGTGCATGATATCCACTACTATCTTCTTTTTAGGCCTTTGCCTAGGGCTCAAATTTGCTCAGATAAGGAAGTGACAAAGAGTGGCGAGCAACAGCGGGCTATTCGCTAAATTTAAAAGGCGGCTGACTATGCACTGGAATACAAGTTCTTGGATCTCAACGCACGACTCGGACTCAGACATAATCTAGTAGTTCTTTAATATTGTTGCAACGACATCATCCTGCCCTCAGCCTTGCGCCCTTCAATTTTGGGGACAATTAACTTCCAGACGATGCTGACTGCGACGTTCAGATACAGGAGGTTGGCCTAAAGCCAGCCAAAGCTCGGTGTAATGGCCACGGCCGATTGCACTCGATGGCCCAGTTCGCATCTCGGCTGTGGGTCAGTAATTTTGGGCCAAACCTCGCGCCTTCCGAAGGCCTGGTGAATCCACCATCGACCAGTTTTGAGTAGGATTCTCGGAGCGCAAAATAAAATCTCAGATTCCGGGTCAGGCGAACTGGGTCATGGATTTGCCGCCGTTTTGCAAATGCAGGTGGCTGGTGCACTTGGGCCATGGTGGATCCTAACACCTAGTTACCACCAGCACCACAACCTCTAAACGTCCACCTAGGTTTAATCATTTTCAGCCCCAGTCAACTCAGCTCTCAAACACTGGCTTCTATCTTCATCAGCCAACAAAATGACTGAACTCGAGGCCAAAATCAATAAACTCGAATCCCTGTTAACAAGCGTTCAAAATCAATTAGAATGTCTCGCGGCAAAAGGCCATGGGAGACAAAAACGCAAGTCTAGATCACGACCGCTGCGTACCCCAGAGTAGGAGACCAACACGAAGAACTGTGTTCCGAGCTTCGTCGTGACGTGAAAGACACCAAGAAAGCCATTTCTTCTCAGGAATCGAATACCCACTCCCAAATGAACGGATGGACTCCATCGCAGGAGCAAAGCGGGCGAATTTGGACGTCGACACTCAGCTCTGGCCATCACTGACAATGTCGCAGGAGTCAACCCATCCCCCAAAACAGGTGAATGCTTTCAGAGAGGGCACGTCTTGCGAAAAGTCGACTTCGAGGCCCGTATCGCCAGCTTCATTGGAGACAGATTCTGGGGTGATTTCAACCTCTCCTTTGACGTCGTTGGCAATTTCTCTGGCCCTGAACTGTCGAAGCTCGATAATATAGCGGGTGTGGATTCTATGTATGATCATCTTGGAGAAAGGGGTTCAGGCACGGCATTTCATCACGAGGACGCACGCTTATGGTCTTGCAACCTAACGTTATCTGGCTGGAAGGCATGGATTCTAATACGAGAGCACCATACCGCGAAATTCGAGGATTTTGTGCGCACTAAATGGCCAGACAAGTGTGACCAGTTTGTACGTCACTGTTGCCTGCTGTTTGCCCCTTCAAGCCTTCGTGACAGAGGAATTGAGTTTGACATACGTGGCACCTGACCTGGAGACCTGCTGGTGACAAGCCTCGACAGTATCATGCCGTTATTAATTTTACCAACAGCTATGCCATATCAACAAACTTTCTGCCCCCTGGAGAGGATGCCATACCTCCTGGACTGCGTGTGTGCTCCGAATGTGGCCTCCGGAACTTGTACAAACAAGTAAAAATGGCGAAACCCAAGGCCACACCAGTCAACAAGCAATTTTCAATCCACCAAGCTGTCTCCGAACACAGAGTTGGTCCGAACCACCTTCAAGTATGCGACAAAAATAGCAAATTCAACCACGGAGTTGTGGATTAGTGGACTCGGGACGGAGAGGATCACGGCAGGGTGGTTGAAGGAGTTCGATTGTAGATGATAAACGAGACATAATTGCCTGGATAACCCTCAATTTGAACTAACGATATCATTATACTATTTATGGACGTGTGAATGAAAAGTGTGATCAATCTGGCTATGCTATCTATCAGGCGGAATACGGAAATCGTTCAGGACTACTTATTTCTTCTTCATCACCTCTTACCTCCGAATACCTGTTGAAAATGATGCGCTGTAAGCCGCGCGAATTCCTAATCCTCTCCCACGCCCCATACCTGCATTTTCCGCTGCCCGTAAAGACTTCGCCTATTGCTCCTCTGCACATCGGACAGCGCGCCCTGCGGCCCATGCGGTGGCTACCGCCACGTTCTTCGAAGACGACCAATCTAGAAAGGCAAGTCGTATGGAATTTATGCTTGCAGCTGGCGATCACAGCGGCGTAGCTGTTCATATTCTCAATCTCTATTTCGTACTGGCAGATGCCGCACTCTCTTTCCTCCGTGGTTCCAGGAGGGTACAAAAGGTCATCGCTAAAATTCCAGCTGGACGCTTCCCAGGGGAAAAGTTGGCCACGGAAATTAGCTACAGCAAGTCTCACGTTCGGGTATAACTCGTTGTACCATAGATAGACCACGGGAGCAAAGTAATTTTCGCTTCCGCCTCGGCAAAATCTACAGCAAAAACCTGGCATCCCGATACGTTGATGTCGGCCAGGATCTAGGCCTTGATCGAAACAACCGCGATGAAATGCACAGCCACATTGCAGGCTGATTTCAGGTTGAGATGTGTCTATACAGACTTTACAAGAGGTTGGTGGTGGGCGTCGGTCTTCGTTGTAAATTTTCAACCACTACTAAAACTTCGTATTAGTACGCTCCAACTAGAAAGTATCAGACTCGTACCTCTTCAGGAAATGTGCCTGATTGTTGGCTAGTGCTTGGACGTCGGCGCGTGTTTGGCTGTTGACGAGCTTCCTCACGACCCTGGTTGGTAGATCGTTGGCGGTTTGGCGACGGACTGCGAGGAGACGATGGCTGCTGGCTCGACCCGTTGCCTCGCTGTGCATTGGTGGAGGGTTCTTGGCTTGTTCTACTGTCCCGTGCTGTGCGTCTTGGGGTGCGTCGAACTACGGGTGGTGTGTTTTGCCTGGATGAGCCGGCTGGTGGTGATGGTGGCCGCTCTGGTCGTGCCGCACGCGGTGGATTACGCCGCAGTTACTAACCCTCTGCCTGCAGTCGCCGCCGTTCCGCTGCAGGGAGTGGTTGAGGCGGAGGATTTTGACCAGTGGCGGTGTAGTGCCTGTTAATGAAAGCTTGGCCCTCTTTGTAGCCACCCACAAAAGTGCTTCTTGCTATCCACTTTGTGTCGTCTCCCGACTGTAGCTTGATCCACGTCATAGGATGTTGCTGGAGAGGCTCAGGCACAGGCAACAGAGATGCCACGAGAAGGATGCCAAGACGTCCGTCTCTTCGAAATTCGACAAACTCAGCCTTTTTCATCGGCTGGATTTCATCAATGGCCACACCTGATAGGCCTACATCCGCCATCCTTCGAGCATAAGCAGGACGAGAACCGTAACCTTCTAGGGGACGAGTGGAGAAAATAACAATATTTTTGCTAGGGGCCTTTCCTTCAATTCTTGCCGTTTCCCTGTAGCCGGTGTCTGGATGAATAATTTTAAAGTACTGACGCCCGTTTCGTTCCTGCAATTGGCCGTCCAAAGCCAGAGTCCCGTATGTCGGCTCGCCATCGTCGCTTTCTCCATTGTCGCTTTCAAATTCTCCTTCTGAAGCAAATGTCGGGACACCATCGCCATCATCATAATGCTCCGTGTCTGTCCCACTGTGGAGACCCTGTGGGTTTGGATCGCTGGCAGCATTTCCCCTGCGACGACTTCGGTTGTCATCCGCGGCGGGTTGCCTGTCACGCTGGCGGCGGTGATCGCGTGGGATCGATTCACTGGGTCGGGCGGGCCGCCCGCCTGAACCGGATGGTCCCGGACGAGAGTCTGGCTGAGGACTTGGATCTGGTTGTGTATCAGAGGAAGCTTCTGTTGTTGGTCGATCCATATTGACATCACTTGTCTGTAAGCCAATCGGGATCTCCTGCTCGTTGGCATCCCCAGACTCTGTGCTATTTCCATTGGTATTTTGCCTTCGCGGGGGTTGCCGCTGTGGATCTTGCCTTGGAGTGGCTTCTCTTTGTGAAGCTTGTCTTGAGGGGGCTCTCCGGGAATCTTGGTTTGGCAGGACCTGCGTTTGAGAGGCCCGCCTCCGACCTCGTGTTTGAGGTGGTGGGGGAGGTTCGTTGCCAGCGGTAAATTCTTCCGCTACATCCTCTAGATTGGATCGCGTCCGCCCGGACCGGGTCCGCGCAAGGCGGGGGCTTTGCTGTCCCTCTCTGACGATGTCTTGATCAGCTCTACTCATTGTAATGATAATGTAGATGCAGGTAAGGTAGATGAGAAAGAAAGAAGTAATAACGTCCTGAAAGGACAAGCTGAGGATTTTATACCTGAATCTCGGCCATTCTCTAAGTTTCAAAGTTCAGAAGACGAGAAACAAGCCCTTAGACTCGGGGTTCGAAAACAATGCCTTAACGCTCAATACTTGGAGCCAAGTTCCAAGCTTCACGAACCGGAATCTCGCGGTTTATCATTCAACCTCACTTTCTGCCAGTACAAAGGATGTAGTAATCTTGCTGCTCTTTGTGGGCGTTAACATTGGTTTGATGCTGCGCCAAATCAGCCACCTCCCAATCCACCAGTCTTCTGGCCAGCTCGCGGTTTTGAACATGACCCTGTTATTCCTCGGCGGCAGGACTAACCCACTCGTGGATGTTCTTCAAATATCGGCTGCTACCTTTCAATTTTATTTTTACTGCGTAGGAGCACTAAGTATCGCACAGGCTCTCATTCACGCGTTCAACACCCCCCAAGGAACGACACAGTTCACAACCGGCGTGATAGCACTAGGCTGTGTGCTAGGGTTGATCCTGAGGTACGCAATATCCCACACCGCAGAAAAATGCGGTAGAAGGACTTGCTCAATTTGGATTCGCAAGGTAATGAGTGTGGCTTGTTGGCCTCTGCCCCCTCCCATTACCATAGCCACGGTTTGGCATTTGAACCAAGTTTCTCTTGAGGAGCAATGGGTTTCTTTGGTAGTAAGTTTGATTGGTGGACTGCTATGGCTCACATCTGAATTAAT